TCTCATTTCAGCATTAAAACAGCTGTCTGATTAGCTGAACTTTCCTTATGTTGCAGATTTTTCTTTCAAAGAAAAGGCATCTGATCTAATTTAACTTCATCTATAGCATTACTTGATGCTCAAGTCCACTAATGAGAAATGTTCATGCCCCTGCATTTTAAGCTGCATTCGTAAAGCACCACCATCTTCGCAAGGTCTGGAATTAAGTTTTTTTTTTATTTTTAACCACTTGCCAGTTTCACTTATTGCAGAATTAATCTTTCTTATTAAAATCCTAACATTCTGAAAGATTCTTAAAAGGTGATGCCGTGTATTCACCCTCTACAAGATCCATAGCAAATGCTATCAGATAAATGATGACGCAAAACAATTAAAAATTTTCCTACGCATATAATGAAATACTGCTACTTAATGAGATTATAAGCCAAATTCGATAAAGAAGGGGAAAGTTGTTTTAGTTTCCTGAGGATGTCTTCACTTGTATTATCCCTCACATTATGCGCTTCAGCCAAGTGCTGTACGGCACTTCTACTATCCGAAAAGGTCCAGATATCTTTTAACTGAGGAAGTCACATGATGAAGTCCAGACCCTCCAGAATTGCAATAAGCTCGCTTCGAAAATACCGAGCAGAAGTCTGGATTTCTTCTTTAAATTCTTATTTCTTGATCCCGAAATCTAATATAAATGCCACTGCCAGAACTGTCATTAACAAGTTTACTGCCGTCCGTATACATGTGGACAGCGTCCCATAGGAACATTATTAATTATTTCAAGAGCTAAAAACAAGAGCTTTTATTAGGAAAACTCTATATCGCCGTAGCAGGGAACCCAGAATTTTATGAAAATGTACTTTATCTGGCAACTCATTAAATGTATGCGATTTTTGGAATACCAAGGCTTATGTTTTTAGTTTCTGCCAGATTAGCGCTTTTTTTTCTTGTAATGAATCATAATGTAACTATAGAGTTTACCTACCAATACAAAAGAAAGTGTTGCAATTTTTTCAGAAATATAGCATTTTGTCTGGTAGCAGTAGAGTATAGAAATGCGCATCTCAAGATGTTATATTTTAAAAATGATCTAAGCGTCCGATTTATCTTAGGGAATTTATTTAGAAAAAATGTCTAGAAGTCAAGCTAAAAACTGTTTTGAAGTTATTTTTAAAGTAGATAGGTGAACAGATCCACTGGCTGTAAAAATGTAAATACTGTCCAGATTAATTTTCATTATATAAAAAGTTGTCAGGACTACTGTTCGTTCTAATTAACTTGGGAAACACCAGAGAAATCCTGAGTGGAAACAGGGAGCTTACTCAAGCTATGTTCGTGGAATAGACAAACAAGTTAAGGGGTGTTGGGGGGGGGACCCAAAAATCTGCAAAAAATGGTCATTTCGTATTTTTGGATTTTCAAATTCTCTACACTTTTACCTTTCTAAAAATGCCATTCTTTAATCTCTATGAAAATTAGAACTGTAAAAATCTAGTTTTAATTTGTCATCGAATGCTTTGATAAATGAAGATTTTCACATAAAAACACATCTTTCTCCAAACGTGAGTTTTTTATACTCGATGAACCTTTTTTTCAGGAACTACTGCTCGCAGGTATCTAAAATTTTTATGGCTTATTTAATTTCTTAATATTTATTGAAATGAGCTTTTTGTGATAAACTAAGGAAAAAAAATTTTTTAAATTTTTTGTGTGAGAAAAGTGATAAATTTTACTATGCCTAACAAAATACTCTGTAAATTACTCTAAAATTCAAAATGTTTCAAACGCTATTTCAGTGTAATCAGATAGGTCTACTTTAATTACACAAATTTTCAAGCATGGATCTACAGCAGATTTTGAGAAAAGGTACATCGAAAATGGCTAATTTAACATTGTCGGTATAGGGGTTTCTGACACCCCTTAAGAAGAGTTAACATTACCCTTTATTTCTCACAGCGTACAGGTGCTCCTGCACTTCGGGATACAGAGATCAACACTTTTCTAAAACGTAAAATAATAAGAAATATTCACTTATAACTAACTTAACTAAATAAGAATTAAATGCTTCACAGAGACTATTAACGCGAAGATTGGCCTTTTGATCTGAAGATTGGCCTGCGTATGTAGTGAGCTAGATGCAACTACTACAATGCTGCTGGAAGGCTCTCTCTCTCTTGGCTAGAAGCCACTTCTTAAATACCTTTCACAGTTTGCAAACTCATTAGCATAAAAATCCTACTCGCACTTATTCTAACGGGAAATGGAAAATAAGAGAGGATACCAAAGTTTAAAATAAAATAAACGTTAGTAAAAACTTAAAAATCCTTATAAAGTAATACAATCATGCAGTTGGCTAGCTGTTATTTATCTCTGATGTTACATTATTATAGAATTCTTGAAGATCGAAAGTAGTTACGAACTGTTATTAAGCGATTGTGATAATAGTTTTCTCCAAATAAGTGCAATTCTCTGATGTTCTTTTAAAGTTAAATCAGGTCAGTTGAGTGCAGTGCTAGGAATTCTGCAATTCTCTGATTCCCCCTTTAAGTTAAAACAGATCGCTGTGCACAGAAGATAAAGAAAATAGAAGGTTAAGTATTTTATTATGGATGTTTGCTGCATTTTTAATTTTAATTTGTTATTGTTTCATACTTCATTCATTGTTTCATAATTTTATGTAATTTCCAGTGCAATACCATGTTTTAAAATGACTACCGTTTTTTATGTGTTAGGTTAGCAAAAAATTAGTCCCCAATGATTGCCGACTCTGTGGGATGGTTGGGTGGATAATGCAATAGTATTAAATTATGAGTATAAATGTTGCCAACAATAGCCATTATATAGTAACACGTGCACACAGCCAAAGAATTTCAGTACATATAAAAAGCTTCTGTAATTTTTGGGAAAAGCATATACAAATACAAAGCTTTGTTGCTGCCTTTGGAGGTACACCGACACCATGCTAAATTCCAACTTCTAACATTCTAAGTGATTTCGACAAGTTACTTGTTTTATTTGCCTACTCTTCAATGTTTGATGCTCAAAAATGTTCCATTAGTTGAATGATGAATAGCACTTCTAGTGAGTTTAAATATAACTAAATATCTGTGTTGCCACCATATGCTACAAAAAACTTAACAAATCATCTAAATATATATTAGTACATTTGGAGCTGGTTTAGTAATAATTCTAACATTTTTAAACTTTTTACTTTCTCTTGTTAAATTTACAAAATGTTTAGAGCTACACCTGCGTTCCTTTAGTAAAACACCAATGGCTATATCTAATATTTTCTTTGCAAAATAATTGACTCGATGACCAGATAAGGATATTTCAAGAAAAGACCAATTATATCTCAATTAATATTTTGGTACTTTCTGATTATCTGCAGTCCCCTCCCCAAAAGTCGCCAACTGTTGATTGCTAATGTTTCACCAAGCTACAATGCAAAATAAGCCGCACTAAGAATTACATAAAACAGCAATCGATAAAAAAATTAAAAACACAAGAAACATCCTAAGAGCATTTAACTATTTTTTCGATGTTCTTCCCATGTACATAGTGATCTGCTTTATCTCAAAAAATATCACAGAATTGCAGGAACTCATGTGCACATACTGTTGTACTCTCCATGTATGCAGAAATCAGTTTTCACTTAAAAAATAATCACAGAACTGCACGCTGCTAAATTTTTGAAATTAGGAAGGTATCAGCCAACAGAATTTAGAATCTACAGAGATTGCACCAGGCGCCAAAATAGTCGACCATGTGTAAATTCGATTAATTCTTGATAAGCTGACTTAATTTTTAAAGAAAGATAAAGAAGGATATAGATTCTATTATTTCCAGTGTTTTGAAAACATTAAAATGGAAAGAAATTTAAAAATTTGTATCTGTTCATTATTTAACAAAATAAAGAATGATTAGTTCATTTAAACTTCTGCCTGAATGATCAGTGACATCTCTGCCAACTTTCATGTTCAGGGATATGTCATAATCAGATCAGATGTTTACTTTGTTTAAGGCCCACAAAATACGTTTGCTTTTATAAGACTGAAATGCACTTATTTATTTATTTATTTATTATTTTTTTTTAAATCTTATATAATTTCAATGTAAGCTTTTGATATTTAAGCATGTAGCAAATGAGATGATTATTTTTATAATTCTAGAGGGGAAATTTTCTAAATTCATTTGGTGTTTTTACTTGTAAGATGAATTCTGTTTTTTTATATACTCAACTATGTGGAATTTTCCCTATGCGGAATATGATATTTCCCGAATTTTCTGTACAGACGAGCTTTTGCTATATTTACTTGAAGTAAATAAAAAACAAAAGGTGTAAATGAGAAAATTTTTCTTGGATCACAAACATCTAAATTTTATCACCTGGACCCAACAGTGTGATAACCTACATACCAGTTTCATAGATTTCCTGGATAAAACGTAATGGTTGAAAAAATATAACTGTTAATTTTTAATTATCAAAAAAATTATTTTTCCAGTGCAGCACAACATACATCAAATAGCATTCAACAGAAAAATATATGCGTCAACATAAATTTCTGGTGAGAACACATACTTTCACTATCAGCTAATTCATTCCGACTGTGGTAAAATTTTTCCAAACATAAGAACCATACCTCTTAAATTAGATAGTTCAATAAAAAAGAGCGCTTAAAATAGAATGGTACCCTAGGAAAACTTTTTATTGACAATACTCACTTTGAAACCTCCGTTATAAGAGATTATCTCTTAATCTCTAAGAATCATTATTTAATTCTTAAGAATCATTATTTAGTCGTAAGTAATAGGCAACACTAATGCACATACCTTTCTATAGAAAATTATTTGGCACATATTTTCTTCTAACAGAAAAGATCCAAAGTATTTATTGGCAAAATGTCTATTATTTTCAATAGCAGAAATAAATTACATAACAAGTATTTATATATATTTATATATCTGTACATATATATTTGAATTGCGAATCAAATATCACAACTTACCTTAATATTTTTTTTACTGTTTTGAAGAATTAAAAATATCCATCTTTGACAAAATATAAGAGCACCATGAAGATCTAATTCAGAAACCCAGGATGTAAGTAATTTCGAATATTTATTTTTATTTCTCATGTGATCAATCAGAATAACAACAAAAAAAAATTCTGAAAAATACAAAAACAAAATATAACATTTTAAAACAAGACATGTATTAAAAATAATTTTATCAAAATATACTAAGAAAGCACAGATTACTATATTTCAATTTTTTGTTTTTTATTTTTTTAAACACATAGTGAAATCTTAAGCTTTAGAAACATTTACCAAAGCAAAACATAGAATCTTTACTCAAAATTTATATTAAATGATTCAATTTATTTTATGATCATGAGGTTTCTTTATGCGTCAATAAGTCTTTTCAGACAACTTATTTTCTATAATGTTTTAGCAGATTAAGTATATTAAGTTTATAAAATGTGGCTATATTTTTTTCAATTATTTAAAATTACATATCTTAATGAGAAACTGAAATAAAAATTTTTAAAATTCAGCTGATAATATAATAAATAATCTAGCTAGGAAAACAATGAAATAAATTACAATCATAATAAACACCTTGTGTCCGTGGCATTAATGTTTTACACTTTAAATTTTCCTTCATTTTCTTTTCTTCTAAAATTTGCTGCAATTTTATAACTAAATCCATAATCATAGGTGATCCAACAATTTTTGCAGCATAGTTCCTGATTTCTTCTTCAATGGTCGATTTTTCAGCATTAAGAAGATCTGAAGCTGCCAAGGAAATCTGAGGTGGAATGTGAGGATATGCCTCAGATATTTTAAATGTAATACATGCAGCATCTTTCAGCGTAAATTTCAGTATTCGGGAATCACCTGAAATGTAGTAAATAAAGCATTAACATGTTAAGATTTTTCTCACTTTTGATGTTTTTACTGTAATAGAAGGCACAAATTAAAAGTATAACAATAATCTGTCAAAGCAGTTTCAACATGTACAGTATTATCAACCACAGATCTCATCATTTACAGATTAACATTATCAAGATTATTCTTATCACTTTCCGGAAGTTACTAACAAAGATAACCTGATGAATATATGCCAGGGTTTGCAAATCCCTGTCCCTCCCCCATATGAAGAAATTAAATTTTTTAACTCAGAAAACTAAAATGCGAGTGCTCAGAAGATTAGATAGTGGTGAACGTCAATGTCAAAATGATGTTGCACGGAACTTGTGAACTACAACGACCATTCTTAAGAATAAAGAAAAAATAGTGTCATCATCTAGAACTACAAAAACCTTTGCAACTAAGAATAACCCGTTCTAGAAATAATACGATAGAAGAGATGGAAAAACGACTTTCTATATGGATTGAGGACGAAATTGAACGCAATATGCTATTAAGCCAAGCTTTATAATGGAAAAAGCGAGATGAATTTTACATCACATTCAGACTGAAACAGGTGACACAACAGACTTAGCTGCAAGAGACACTTGATTCAGGGTTCTGGGCGATAGCCGCATTCCTGAGTAGAACAGACAGCAATTACATGGCTTTTGATGGCATACCATGATAACAAACAATTTAAACAATTTAAACTTTCGTTGCAAGTCGAGGATGGTTTAATAGATTTAAACATCGAAATAATCTTCATATCATATAGATTACAGAAGAAGTAGCAAGTGGAGATAAGAAAGTGGCGGCTGAATTCCTAGCGACATTAAGAACAATAATTGAACAAGGAAACTATCCTCCAGAATTAGTTTTTAATGTTGATGAAGCGGCCCTCGTTTGGAAAAGAATGCCAAAACATACATTTTTATCTCGTGAAGAAAACGTGCACCAGGATTTAAAGCTGTGGAAGATCGCTTAAAACTTCTCCTGGGTGCTAACGCCAATGGAGACTTCAAATTAAAGCCACTTCTTGTTTATCATTCCCAAAACCCAAAAGTATTGAAAGGAATATTAAAATCAACTTTAGCTGCAATTTGGGAATTTAATAAACGATCATGGATAGCTATGAAAATTTTTCAGAATAGGTTCACTGAAAATTTTGCCCGTCTGTTATCCGCTATTGCGAAATAAAAAAATAAAAAATAAATAAACACTTGAACCAAAAGCGCTACTTTTAATGGATAATGCTCTAAGCCATCCAACGAATTTATCTGACTTAATAACATGTATTCCAGTCGAAGTGATTTTCTTGCCGCCTTACACAAATGCATTAATCCAACGATGGATCAAGGTGTCATATCAAATTTTAAAGCTTATTTTTACCTGCGGCGAACATTTAGACATATGTTTGAAAAAACAGACGGAGATGATAAACAATAAATAAGAGATTTTTTGGAGAAACTATAGTATCGTGGATGCAATCGAAAACATAAATCTTTCTTGGAATGAGGTAACGGGAAAATGTTTGAAAGGAGTGTGGAAAAACATTTGGCCAGATTTAAACACGGACGATGGCAGTAGAGATTCTGTTGTTGATATGAACGAAATAAAGAAACAAACACGTTTAGATGTAGTAAATGTGGAAGATCTCGATGAAATTTTGCAAGAAACAGAAAGTCTTTTTAATGATAAGCTCAAGGAATTAGAGCGGATCAAGAAGAACACAAAAATATTAAAAATAGTTATTCTGAAGAAGAGCAAAAAGAATTTTCAACGGCACTTCTAAAATCCAATTTAGCATCGACAACGGAAATTATGGACTTACTTATTGAAAATGATGCAGATTTTGATAGGAATTCAAAGGAAAGACTCCATGGATGCCTTGTTACCTTATTGACAACTTCTAACGCAGCGAAAAAAAGAAAAAAAATGCAGAAAAATCTGAATAATCTAACATCTAAATGGCGACTTAAAATTTTATTTATTTTTATATATTCATTTATTATATCTAAATACACAGTCCAGTCACATTAATGTGACCACCACCTACTTTCGACGTCAACGTGAAATAACCAATCAGAGAATACAGGTGGCAGCACCCTGCAGCGCAGCTTATATAAAGGGTGTCCGAGAGAATGCAGAAACGCATTACAGGGCACATTCCAGATACCTTAGACATTATAATGTCGAACACTAATATTAATATGATCCTGGAAGGGCATGATGATCTTAGCTCAGACCACTGCCCGGTAGTAGCGACAATGGGGGCTGCAAGTATAAGCTACCCCACTACTAAGACCTACACAGATTGGACGATGCTTCATAAGTTGTTAAGAAGCGACTCCCTATGCCAGGAGTACTTAAAACCCCAAATGACATCGACAGGATAATTGACTCTCTCATTGCATGTTTAAACAACTCTTACTACGAGGCTACGAAAATCACTCAGAAGATAGATAAGCTTACAATGTTCCCTAAATTTATTAAGGAACTCAAGACTGAAAGAAACCGGTTACGTAGAAGCTACAACACTACCTGGGACCCGAACACGAAAGCAGAACTCAATAGAATAAGGCTCAGGAAGGAAATACAGGATTTCAGGCAAGAAAACTGGAATGACAAAATCGCTGAGTTTGAGATGGATTGTGATGCTTTCTGGCGCTTCACTAAAATGCTTAAGAGCACGCACTAATGCGACAGGCCTGTAGTAGCAAATGGTATCACAGCCTAATCTAATAATGATAAATGTAAGATTTTCGCAAATCGCTTAAAGGAGCAATTTAGTCCCAACATAACACCATGCAATAATTCGTTTGCACAGCAAGTTCATGAATGGCTGAAGATGCCTACTGCACTTAATGCTAGCGGGCTCACTACTCCTAAGGAGGTTACGAAGATAGTCTCTAAACTTAATCTAAAGAAGGCCCAGGCATTGACGGGATCACGAATCTCATGATCAGGAACTTGCCTAAAAGTGGCATTACAAGACTCACAGGCATCTTTAACGCTCGTATCACGTGTTGCTACTTCCCAGAAAACTGGAAATGTGCGAAAATATTTTTGCTTCCCAAACCCGCTAAAGACATCACTAAAGCAGAAAATCACAGGCCGATTAGTCTTTTATCCAATCTTGCCAAGATATTTGAAAGGATTATCTTACAAAAATTTCAGCCCTACTTGCAATTCCTGCCTGATGAACCGTACGGCTTTAGGAGCGACCTGTCTACTGCGAAACACCTACTTAGACTTGTTGAGTTCATAGGATCCGCACTCCATCATAAAAGCTGCACAGCACTGCTCATGCTAGACGTGGCCAAAGCATTTGACCGCGTTTGGCATGAGGGCTTAATCTACAAATTAATGAAGTTTAATCTTCCCAGAGAGCTTATCCTACTGACACATTCTTACACTACAAGAAGATTCTTCACTGTGAGCTGCAGACAGAGTCATTCTGGCTACGAGATGATCTCAGCAGGGGTTCCACAGGGGTCCTGTTTCGGGCAAATTCTCTACTTATTTATGCGGTGGATTTTCCAAGGGACAAATAAAATAGGAACACGCTACTCGCCTGCTATGCGGATGATACGGCGGTAGCAGTTAAATCAATAAATCCTAACAGAGCCATTAGCGTATTGCAAGATATTGTACTTGATATTGAAGAATGGTGCTCCAACTGGAGGATTTCTATTAATGCTGATAAGTCTCAACTGCTTATCGTACGCAGGAATAAATTAAAAGTTGTTATCCAGCCACTGTACCTATTCGGCCAGCGGGTACCCACAGTTGACAAGGCCAAATATCTAGGCGTTTATCTCAATCAAAGGCTCACGTGGAACACCCATATCAACTATGTAGCTAACAAAACTAAAGGTGTTGCGCAGCAACTAAATCTTCTACTTGGTAGGTGCTTCTAAATTGGACCTACGCAGGAAGCGACAAATTTATCTTTCCATTTTGCGACCTATCATGTGTTACGCCTCGCCAGTTTGGGCTACGGCGAAGAGCAATGACCTGCACAAATTACAAGTTGTACAAAATAAAATCTTGCGCACCATTACAGACGCACATTTCTATATTAGGAACAAACTACTGCATGATGACTGGAAGGTAGAATACATTGATGAGACTCTATAGATTAAACAGTAAATTTTATGATAAGCGTTTAAAATGTACGGCGGGCAATTTTAAACTACATATGCGTCCCAGAAGATGTCGCACTAAGGTCATTTACTGCTCACAGAATGCAGGACCACAATTTCGTCACTTAAGCACACACAAGCTGCATTTCTCATTGTAAATATCTTTAATTTACACTTTATTTATTCATATTTATGCAACTTGATATCGCTACATTAGCACATGCATGTTTCGGTTACGAATATTTCTCATCACCTCTTTGATAAGTGGTAGTTAAATAACGATTATCTCAGCTTGACTTTGCGCTTCGCAGCCAACGGGCCCTTTTTCCTACTTTGATCCGTTTTCGGGTGCGACTTAGTTGATAGTTTACACTGTGATATTCTCTAGGGATTAAAAGAACAGAGCTTATAAAAGACGCATAGCTACATAAGCATAAGCAATTCGCATTCAATCATGCAGACAGGGGCGTAGCTAGAGGGGGGCAAGGGGGCATCTGTCCCCGGGCGCAGAATCCAAGGGGCGCCAAACTGATGTTACGTCATTTTAGAATTAAATGTTTTCCATCCTTGGCAAGCAGTAGGGGGCGCGAAATCTTCAGTTGTCCCTGGGCGCTGAAAACCCTAGCTACGACTCTGCATGCAGAAACGCAATTTATGTGTTGTAAAAATAAAGAAGGGGGAAAAAACTATAAAATTAAAAAATACACACAAAAAAAAAAGTTTAAAACAAAAAAGCGTCCGAAAAAAATCAAAATTTGATTTTTCCTATCCCTAAACTTTCTCGAGATAATGTGGCTCCCTCTTGTGTGCATCATGACAACCATTTATGTAATTTTCCTA